TGTATCATGTTGTATCGGACTGTATTGTGTGATGTGTGAGCGTACGAGTAGGTGCATGGGGTTGCGCGCCCTCTCGCTCCTCCTCCTCATGTCACTGCCTTCCTCCCCCCCCCCCTTTTCACCGCCACGCGCCCATCACAGCTGTACCGCAGCAAAGCGGCTGCGGACCAGGCCTTCATCAAGGACGCGCTCGCATCGCGGCTGCCAAATGCCCTCGTCGCCCGCTTCTGTGCGTTCTGGCCGGCACCAACGAAGCCACGCTGTCAAGCATGAGCGCACGCATGCATGCATGCATTCATGTTGGTGGTGGTGGTGTGATTGTGGTTGGTGTTTGCTTGCGGTGCATGTCGTCACTGGGATGGCGTCAGTGGTTGGTTCAGCACTGCTGTGTTGTGCACAGTACGCTGTGCCTGTTACATGTCCTCACGCACACGCACATGCTCCCTTGTGTGTTTGGCTGTTTTGACGTGGCCAGGCAAGAATGCGGCTGGCCTTGTTGTGGTGCGCACTCCTTCGCTCGAAACCGAACTCACCGGCCACTGTGGCAAGCTCAGCGACGCCGCAGGTGTGTGTGTGTGTGTGTGTGTGTTTAATCTGTGTGCTGGAAGGGATTTCAGATGATCCTGCACTGCGACGCCTCATCACCGACCATCACCGCTCCCCTGCATCATGCGTGTACAGCCATGAGTGTTGGAGACGAGACGCGTGCGTTTGAGTTTTACATTGCGTTGCGTGCGTGCGACCGCTTCCACGAAAAACACAACCGCTACCCGGGCACAGGTCTGTCGCTTGTTGTTTGCTTGCTTGCTTTATTTGCTGCCTGCTTGCTGCATGTTGGTTGGCTGTTTAATTCATTGGGTCATCGCACAAACCCGCCACTTGCTCTTTTTTGTCTGCTCGCTGACGCGCCCGCATCAATCCATACGCCTATGCCTCTATGCGTGTGTGCGTGCATGCACGCACACCATACTCACGCTGCTGCTGGTGACTGCGACACGTTGCTCGACAAACAGGGGCGCATGCACACGAGGAGGACGCGGGGGAGCTTTCGTCCATGTGCGCAGATGTGTTGCGCAATGCCGGTGTTGATGGCGTCACAATTGGTGACGACTGCGTCAAGGAAATGTGCGTATCTGTATGCATGTGTATGTCTGTGTGTGTGTGTGTGTGTCTGTCTGTGTTTGTCTGTGTGTGTGTGCAGGTTGAAAGGTTTGGTCTCATGGCAGCCGCGTTTGACCGCGTTGGACTCAGCGACTGTGCCTACCCCTGTGCCTCACCCTGCTTCTGTCATGCGTGCTTGCGTCGTGTTAATTGTTGTCAGGTGCCGGTATGGCGCTGCGCAGCTGCACAGCGTGGCGGCCTTTGTTGGTGGTGAGAACGCTACACCTGGCTGCCGCTGTTGGTGGGGCGATGGGAGGTGAACACGCCATGGACAACACACAACAACACATCATGCATACATGCATACAAACATGGGCATACGCATGCACAGCTATCACGCACGCACTCACAGAGCTGCCACACTCACTCACACACACACACACACACACACACACACACCCACATACACACACACACACACACTCACACACACACACCCGCACACACACACACACACACGAACAAAAACACATTCATACACGCTGCGGCGCCAACACACGTGCAAACTCGATGCAGGGATGACTTCGCAAGAGATTGTGAAGCTGGTGACACAGCAGTACGTGCCGGCAAACCACACCATCATCTACAACGGAGTGCAAGGCGACTCTCGGACCCTCAACTTTTAAGAGCGCGCACATATGCACACGCACGTATGCACACGCACATACGCACAGATACAACTGCACATGGTGTGCTTGCGCTGTTGCTTAACATTGCCTGGCATCACACATGGCGCGTCGGTGGTGTCGGCGTTTCCTTTGATCCATTCCCACAACACGGGCATACCAGCAGTAGCACGGGTTTGCGTGCACTTCTTACACGAAGCAATAACACAACAGCTCAACCTGCCACTGTGAGCGAAGAGAATGGAGAGGTCGGGTCAAAGTACACGGGGAGGAGAAAGAGGGAAACAATTCTTATGTGCTTATGTTTGCGTTGTTGTATCGCATATTGGCTACAGTTGCAATGTTAAAACAAAGCTCTATGCCTGTGGATGCCTGTGGTCAAAGAGTCGAACTGTATCGTACACACACACACACACACACACACACACACACACACACACACACACACACACACACACACACACACACACAAGCACACACACACACACACACACACAAGCACACAAGCACACAAAACAATTCAAATTTCCCGGCAGCTTCGAGTGCGCGGTTTGCGCCTGCAACAAGGCAACAAACAAAGGACAGCAGAAGAAGAGGACACTTCGTTCACACCTCTTGGGCTCGTGTCTCTCCCAACAAAGCAAGACACACACTCTGCTTTGCCTTTGATGACTGTGTGTGCAGCCGCTGCGACACCACCACCTTGCTTGCTTCACCTCAGTTTGCTCCCCCTTAGCCTGCCTGCAGCTGCACCATCCCTCCCGCCTCAACGTCTCTTCCCTCTTGCTCGCTCAGCTCGCCAGCGCCAAGTTTCCCTCGACGACGCAAGGTCCCCCAATACGGTTGCTGTGCCAAGGCCCGTGTTGCCGTGAGACCAACACCTTGATCCGCCACATCACAAGTCACAGGCAAGCCACACCGCTCACCACTGCTGCTGCCGCTTGCATTCATCATTGCTTTGCTGTGGAGTTGTGGTGAGTCTCAGGTGACTGTGTGTTGTGTGTCGCGTCGTGCTGTGTCGTGTCGTATGCAGGCTGCCTCATTTCTTCTTCTTTGCTTCGTGATCACACCCACATCCACCTCGCTGATCTCCACTCCACTCGCTCCACTCGATTCACTCAGCGCGCTTCGGCCTCGCTCACTTGTTGCGTGTTGCTCACTTTCTCCCTCAACTCTCCTGTCACTGCATCCCTCGCTTACGTTTACAGCACACCACGCCCTTGGTTCTCTTATCTTCCTGATCGCCGCCGCCGCCGCCGCAGCAGCAGCAGCAGCAGCGAGCACACTATCTGAGAGGGCGGCGAGCACACTGGTCTGCCGCCCAAAGAATGACACAACTACAACTCCCTCGTCGGCCATGGTGCCGCTGGGGGGTGGTTGGACGCAGCCGGCTGGTCTCATGGCTGCCGCTGCTGGTGTTCATCTGTGCGGCTGCCATGGCTGCAATGGGCGCTCAGCTGGCCCACGCCGACAGCACCACATCGACCATGACCTCTACGGACGTGACAACCACGTCCACGCAGATGATGCTGTCAGGCCTCAGCGGCGACTCCACCACCTCAACGCTCGTGCCCTCCACGACGCACACGGCAAGCGGCAGTGGCTCCGGTGACGAGTTTTCAGGCGGCACCCTGCCAAGTGGCATGTCAACAGCCACAAGTACGACAACCACAACGACGACGGCGACAACGACAACAGCAACGACAGCGACAGCGACAACGACAACCACCACAACCACCACCACAACAACAACAACAACAACCACAACCACAACCACAACCACAACCACAACCACAACCACAACCACAACCACAACCACAACAACAACAACAACAACAACAACAACAACAACAACAACAACAACAACAACAACAACAACAACAACCACCACCACCACCACAACAACAACAACAACCACAACCACAACCACAACCACAACCACAACCACAACCACAACAACAACAACAACAACAACAACAACAACAACAACTACAACTACAACTACAACTACAACTACAACCACAACCGCAACAACCATGATGCAGCCCGCGTCACTTGAGACGTTTGATGTGGACGCTGGCGAAGGCGTGCTTGGCCTCACCTTCACACGCGCCATTGTCCTGGGCACCCTCGACCTGGACAAGGTGCTGCTCACTTCGGAAATTCCAGGCACAGCACCTGTCCCACTCTCCGCACTCGACGGTGCACGCGTTGTGCCCATCAACACGCTCTACTCGACCCAGATCTCGCTTGTGCTCGGGCCCTCGCTCGTGTCACATCTGCGCAGCGCCACCGCCATTCTGTCCTCGCGCAACACCACGCGCCTCTTCCTGGAGCCAGCCGCAGCCATGGATGTGCTTCACTTCTCCCTCACGCCAATCGCTGCTGCCGACGCTGTTGCGCCAACCACATTCACACCCGACACGCATGCGCCCACACTGCTTGACGTGCAGCTCTCCACCACCAGTGCGGGCTACCTGCTCGTGTCCCTCTCCACGTCGGAACCCGTCCTTCCCTCGCGTGTGGACGGGCTGTCATCCTCCTCACCGGCACTCGCATTCTTCAACATGAGCAGCAGCAGCAGCAGCAGCGTGATTGCAACTGTCACCAACGCTCGCCTTGGGCTGCAGTCTCCGCCTCCAGCAGCACCCACGCCAACGACACGCGTGGTTTTTAGCACTGCACGCCGCGCTCCCGCCCGAGCCCTTGCCGCCTACCTGCGAACTGCTCAGCAGCAGCAGGGGTCGGAGTCGCTTGCTGCGGTGGCAATGCTCGGTGCACAGCTACCTGCGTGGCGCTTGCACGATTGGCAGTCAAACGGCGTGCAGCCTGACATCACATCGAGCCCAGTGTTTGTGTCATCGGTGGACGGGGTTGATTTGACTGCCCCCACGATCGACCCTTCGTCCATCCAACTCAATCTTGCACAGCACACGCTCTCCCTCTTGTGCGTGGACACCGCCTCTGGCTTCGCGTCGCCACTGCCCCCGCCAAGCAGTGACGATGGCGATGTGGTGTTGCGAGTGGACCGAGTGGGTGATGCTCCCATCACATTGACGCTCGCGGTGGCCAATGCACAGTTTGCGCGACTGAATGACACGCACGTGCACGTGTCGTGGTCGCTGTCTCGCATGGCGCAGCTTGCTCTGCAGTCCGCAGTGACCGCAGATACAGCTGCTGTGGTGAGGGCATCGGTCCCTGCTGGTCTCCTGGCAGATCGCCTGGACAATCCATCCACACCGGTCAACTCAACTGTCCTTACTCGCGTCGTGGCTGACACGACAGCGCCAACCCTCAGCAGCGTGGCGCTTGACCTGGGCACGGGTGGCGTCACGCTGGAGACGAGTGAACTGGTCGCCTTCAACACAACCGCAGCAGCGGCGCTTGGCCTCCCGTTGAGTGATAGTGGCGGCTTGAGCGAGCTCCCGCTTCACATCACCTTCTCGCCAGGCAGCACCGGCATCGTCGTTGTTCTGCACAACCTCAACATCAGCACGGCCGCAGCATCGCAACAACAGCAGCTTCGAAGGCGGCGGCGGCGGCGGCAAGCGAGTGGTGGTGTTGGCGAGTGGACGTTTGGCAACACCATCATGGGTGAGTTGAGCAGCCGTGACCGCCAGCTGCTCGTCTCGCGCCTGCGCACGCCCGCCATTGACTCTGTTGGCAGCGTTGCACCAGCTCACGACGGCGTGGTCGTTGATGTGAACGGCAACACTCTGAGGAGTAGTAGCAGCAGCGGTGGTGATGGAGCAAGCCCACCTGTCATCACCTTGACAGCAGACACACAAGCACCTGTGATCACTCGTACCAGGGTTGCCTTCCGTCACAGCCAATTCAGCGTTGTTCGCACGTCCACCAGTGGTGGCGATGGTGGTGATGGTGGCGATGGTGATGGTGGCGATGGTGATGGTGAGTTGGTGGTGCGAGCAGCATCACCGTCGCCCGTGCGGGATGTGCGCCACGCTGTAGCGGTCGTGGTTGAGTTTGATGAGCTCGTGACGGCCAACGCGAGTGCATTCCAGGAAATGAGTGTTGTGTTCACCACCACCGCTGGAGCCAGCGTGGAGCGTGTGCTGAGTGTGTCCGAGACAACTGTGCTGACGACACCGCCTCGCATCCGGTTGGTCGTTCCTGGTCTCGCTGATGCGCTCACGGCATTCTACCCTACGCATCCCAACGTGGCCCTGCGGCTCCCATCGAATGACAACAACAACACCAACAGCAGCAGCAGCGAGAACAACGGAACCGGTGACGCCGTGCGTGACGTGTTTGGTAACGCGTTTGCGTTTCCAGTGCTGCTTCCGCTGGCGCTCAGCGACATCAGCCCTGCTGTTTCACGCTCCCTCGTGCGCATTGAGCCAGCAACCCTGACGACGACCCTCACGGTCATCACCGCAGCGCCGCTTGTTAACACGCCCGTCATGGCCTCTGCTGTGTACCTCTCCATCGGTTCAGCACAAGCAGCAGCAAACACTGGCACAACAACGACAGCAGCAGCATCATCATCATCACCACCATTATCATCGATGGTGCTGGTGCCCATGGTGAACGTCACGTCTCCTGCGGTGGGTAGCGCAAGCACGACGTTTGAGTTTCGAGTGGCAAACGACCTTGTCCAGACCCTGACACAAGAACAAGCTATCCTTTCCGCGCTGTCCTCCCTCTCGCTGCACATCGTGTCCGACATTACGGCCCTTGATGAAGACAACAACGCCACGCTCACCGTTGCAGCAGGCACGACATACGCCACAGCCCTGACAGCACCAGCCTCTGAGGCGCGTGTGGTTGGCTTCTCGCTGGCCATTTCTGTATTTGAAGAGCTGCCCGTCAACGTGACCGTTCACTTCTCACAGCCCGTCGTCGCCTCAAGCGTCGACCCGGCTGGGTTTGCGCTTCGCAGTCGCCCACACACTGCCAACGACGATACTGATACTGGTGCCGGTGACGCCGCTAATGGTGACGATGACACTGGTGATGATGATGCCTCATCTGCATCTGGCAGCGGGGCGACTGATGGTGGTGGTGCTTCGGCTGAGAGCGAGGACAGCAGCAACAAGAGAGAGGTGGTGTTTGGGCTGGGGCGTGCCACTGCCATCGTTGTGGATGCGTGGACGGTGACGCTTGCGCTCTCAGCAGAGGACGCACATGTTCTGCAAGCAGCGCGGAAACTTGGGACGCGGCAGTCGAACACGTTTCTCTCCATGGACGAAGGTGCGGTGTGTGTGTGTGTGTGTGTGTGTGTGTGCGTGCGTGCGTGTATGTGTGTGCGTGCGTGCGTGTGTGTGTGTGTGTGGTTGTGCAGCGGATCATTTGTGATCTTGTGTGCTGTACGACCAACATCACCTTTGCTTTGTACATCCATTTCTTCACAACATGATTGTTGGCGCACGCGCATTCTTGCACCCTTCCACCCACCAATGCACTTCCGTTGCCCTCCGCCAGGTGCTCTGCTGACGGTGTACGGTTCATCTGTTGGCGTGATCACACCATCCAACGCCATCATGGCTGAGGGTGTCTCAGACGCCAGCATCATTTCGTCTCACTCGTCAGCTTGGACTGCAACAGAAATCGCAGGTGTGCATCATGACCTACGCGTGCTTTGCAAGTGTGTGCGTGCGTCGCTCGTGTGTTTGCGAGTGTGTTTTGAGAGAGTCAGGTGTTTGTGTTTGTTTGTGTGTGCGTGTGTGTGTCTGTGAGTGTGTTTTGTGAGAGAGTCAGGTTGTGCGCATGTCGTGTCATGACCGTCATGACTTTGCCATGTATGACGTGTCATTCAATTCGCAACCTCACATTATGTGACTCCGTGTCTTGGTCTCTGTGTCTTCCCCCCGACCTTGACATGCAGTGGTGACCATCATCTGTGCCGCGCCGTTTGTGCTGTATGCGCTGTTTACGCTCGTGTACATGTATCACAAAGAGTCACATGCCATCACTACATCTTCGTCCCTCTGGGACTCCCAGATGCGCCCCAAGCGGAGCAACGCCTTGCAGTGAGTGTGGCCACCAATATGGGCGCGGGTGTACAAACAAGAGTGTGGATGGGTGTGGATGGCTGAATTTGGATGTGTACACACATGAGCGTATGTGTGCGTGTGTGCATATGCACGTATGTAGATGTGTTCGTGTGTACGTGTACATGTGTGTGTGCCTGTGTATGTGTGCATGGTGGAAAAACGCTGCATGGCATGATGTGTCAGTGTGGGCGTACCATTCACATGCCTGCTTACCGTGTTCCTTGTCTCCTGCGACTGTGCGTGTGACCCAGCTTGAGTTGGGATGATTCCGCTGATGTGGAGACCCGGAAGCAGAAATCTCCGCCGCCTCCGCTGCCGCCTTTCCCTCGTATGTGGCACATTCTTACTGTGTCTGTTGAGTCTGTGGTGCTCGCGCTTCTACTGTCGTCTTGCGCCCGTGTGACATTGCATCGCACACATCTACACACGGTTACACACGCGCACACGCACGCACACGCACATACGTACACACACATGTACACACACACACTATAGTTTCAGGGCTGTCGCCAAAGCCGAAGAAGAAACCAGCACCACTCGATCGTGGCGACACGGGTATCAGCGTGGGCGAATTGCAGTATGCGCGCGAACACGTGCTCCAACACAGCCCTGGACATGACAGCGTGTACAGCAAACATTCTGCTGAACGCCTCGCACCAGTGCGGGAGGAGGCGGGCGGCGATGGTGATGGTAGTGGTCGCGGGCGTGGTGACTATGGCAGCCATGATGGCCGCGGTGGTGTTGAGCGGCGTGAGACATCAACGTCACTGCTGTCTGCTGGCCCGGGCCCCCTGTGGACATTTGTGCCGTCATCAGACACGGCGTCAACGGCTGCCGAGCGCAGTGAAGACGTGGAGATGAGCGAGATGGGTGATGCGGATAATGTGGAGGATGAGGAGGATGTGGCGGAAGTGGTGGGTGTACGAAGAAGAACAGAGCATGGACCATCGTCATCATCACCGCGCCGCAACCTTGGTCCGCTGTTCGAGGAATCAGCAACCGCGGGTGATGGTGGCGATGGTGATGGCGGTGCTGTCATTGTTGGCGCGAGTGAGGACGATCATCGCGACAGCATCGAGTTTGGTGCTGGTTTTGGCACCAACATCGACGACCCGCATCGCAGGACCACGCTCGCAGGTCTCGATTGCGCGTGTATGTGTATGCGCGTTTGCGTGCATGTGTGGGCGTTCGTGCACGTGTATGTGTACGTGTGCACGTGCATGTGTACATGTGCAGGCGTGTGTGATCATGTCCAATTCCTGGTTTTGTTTTGCTTTCCTGCTCACTGGCCCTGTATGGCCCACCTGCAGGCTTTGATGACGTGTCAGAGTTTGTAGGCGAGACGGTCATTGCGATTTGGGGCTACCAGGTGCGTACAACAACAGTGCGTGGTTGTGTTTTGGTGGTCATCGGTGAAGACGATGCATGATGCACGTGTCTTTGGCGAATTGCATTGGATGCCACTCGTCACGGCCTCGTTGAATACGAGCAAACCTGGCACACATGTCCACAAACTCACGTCCAACCTCTCTCCTCCATACGCCAATCCACACACACACACACACACATGCGCACGTCTTCAAATTCACTCCTTACCTCACTTATGCATGTGCAACTTGTCTTCGCAGGCGCAATACCAGGACGAGCTGTCGTTTGAGATGGACGAAGCATTGGTGCTTGTTGGAGGCAGTGAGCTTGAGGATGAGTTTGTGCAGGTGTTGTCGCCCAAGACACACGCCATGGGCCTGGCGCCCAAAAGCTACCTGTGCTTTCCGCACGTGTACAAGCATGCAAAGCGCACGCTTTCGCACCGCCCCACCCTCAGCCGGACCAACAGCCAAGACAGCACCCCTGTACAGCCATCGTCAACAAGCAAGCTGGCGTCGCCACAGTCGGATCCATCACCACGTGCGCCCTGGGGCGCTTCTTCTCGCAGTCAAGGTGACCAGTTGTGTGTGTGTGTGTGTGCGTGCGTGCGTGCGTGCGTGCGTGCGTGCGTGCGTGTGTGTGTGTGCGTGTGCTGGTGTGTGTGTGTGTGTGTGTGTTCGGGCATGTGTGTGTGGGGTGTGGGTGTGGGTGTGGGTGTTGAGAGTGGTTGCTCATAGCTGTGTGTATGAAGTCGGTGTTGGTGAGTAAGTGTGTTGGCATATGTGTTGAGAGCTTGTTTCAAGGCACGTCGTATTCCTGTTCACCATCGTTCTCTATCACACACACACACACACACACACACACGCACACGCATACACACACACACACATGCACACATGCACGCGCGCGCAACACGTGTTGCAGCAGCTGCCATTCGAGTGGCTGCGCCACCTGTTGAGGAAGTTGATCCTGTGCCGCGTCTGAACATTTCGCGCGATGCCAGCATCCGCCGCACACGCATGCGCGCATCCCTTCCAGCGGGTGCACTGGGACGCCGCCACCAGCAGCACACGCGACACCAAGAACAGCAGCAGCAGCAGCAGCAGCTTCAAGGTGGAGGGTACGCGACTGGTTCAGCGCCCTTTTCTCGTCCGCACTCGCGATCATTCCAAGGATTTCGGCCACCGCCAATGCCGCCTGCAAAGACGCAGCACACGCACGACAGCAGTGCACGCAACGGTGGCGGCGGCGATGGTGATGGTCAGCGGCGCGTCAGCAGCCAGTTTGAGGCCCTTGATGTGGCGTCTGCTCTCAACACGGTACGTTGCAGTGCTGCCACAGCTCCTCCTCTGCTTAACAACACTTTGTGAATGCGTGGCAATGCATGTACTACCGCCAATCTTATCCATGTCACTTTCTCCCACTACCTCCCATCTCACAACCGACAACTTCAACCCACCTCGCCTCACATGCGCTGTGATGTTCTTGAAGATGAATGGACAGCGCCGCAAGAGCAGCGCCGACTCCACATCGCGGTTCACTGGAAGCTGGGTATGTTTGCTTGCATGCACACGTGCGTGCCTGCACTGGCGTCATTGCAACCATGTTGGCCACTGCGGGACGTTGTTGCTTTATGTGTCGTTTCCTTGTGCAGCCTCTGCCAATCAATACTCAAATCAACAACACTTACGCTCATCGCCACCACCGCCACAACCACCACCACCACCACCACTACTACTACGACTACTACTTTCGACAAACAATAACTGCAGGAGGATTTGAGCACGAGGATGAAGCATGCTCCCTCCAATTTCGGCGACATGGCAGAAACATCCGACCTGTAACCTGACGCTGGACGTTCGGTTTCACATTTTGTGTGTTGCGTGCGTGCATGTGTGTGTGTGTGTGTGTGTGTGTGTGCGTGCGTGCCTTGGTTTGTTTTGTTGAAGCGCATATCTGCACAACACTTTGAGCGGGGTCGATCGCACTTCACATCACGTCATGTCCAAGCAAGCTCGCATCAGCTCTCTTGTTTTGAGTTTGTTGTGTCTTGTGCGCTGTGTGTTTGACGTTCTCTCACTTGATACCCTTTCCCCCCTCCTTGTTTCTTTACACGCCTCTTTGATCGAGTAAACGAAAGTCGTGAATTCATGTCAATTGTCGTGTTATTGCATGTAGTCTGGCCAGGCACACACACACACACACACACACACCACACACACAGACACACAGAGTGAAGACAGTTGTACTTTCAACCAGAGAGTGGAAGGCAGTGGAGACGCCCACTCACCCACCAACAGGCAGGGATGATTGCGCAGCCGCGCAACAAGACATCCATGTCAACACAGAAAGAACGGTCAGCACAGCGTGCAAGGTAAAGGGGTCGTCAGTCCTCGACAAACGTCATCTCCTTCACACACACACACACATCACTCGTCGCAGCCGTCAATCTCGATGGTGAGACGGTAGACCTGGCTGGCCGTGCGCTTGACAGAGTCAACGAGCACATAGTAGTAGCCGGCTCGCCCAGCCTGCGCCTCAATCTCAGCCTCAACCTGGCCACCACGCAGCTTCTCCCGAATCTTGCGCTTGCCGCGGCGCTTGTGGATGGAGAGGTTGACCTTGTTGGCCGTGTCCGGGTCCACGGAGAGGTGGGCGCGAATCACGCCTCGTTTGCACACGTGGAAGGTGAACCAGTCGTTCTCGCCATTGCACAGCACACCCGTGAACGTGCCCGGTGTCGACACGCGCGTGGCCTCTGTCTGCCGCACGTTGTTGGGTTCGTGCTCGTCGTTCTCCGGGCACGTGTATGGCGGGAAGGGCAGCGGCGTGCAGGTGATGTTGATGTGCACCTTGTACTGGTTGGTAGCGCCGTTGAAGCCATACACGCGGAGGAGGTACAACGAGTCCGCAGCGGAGTTGTCTGTGTACACCACAACCTCATTGTCCGTGACAGACGTGGCTTTGCCAATCAGCTTTCCTGCCGAGTTAAACAGCGCCATATCCAGGTCACCACCGGCGTGCTCAAACTCAATGGCAATGGCGATACGGCCGCCAGCGCAGACGGGCACGCGGTACCAGTCGTCGTCGCCATAGCAAATGGAGGCATCAAAGCTGGTGTGCTGTGTCGACAGCACGGTGGCTGAGTCTGGGACGTCGTTGGACTCGAATGAGTCCGGTTCGCACGGCGGGCAGACCACATCAAAGAACATGGCGTACGGGGCGCTTGCGCCCTGGTACCCATACACGCGCACCATGTACATGCTGGCGCTGCCAGTGGTGTCTGTGTGCTGGACGGTCTCATGGTCGGTGCTGCTGGTGGACGAGGCAACCAGCGTGCCGCTGCTGTCAAAGAGATGCAGCTCAATATCACCAACGTCGTGCTCGAAGGCAAGGTTCACGGTGATGGTGCCCAGACCGCACACGGGGATGGCGTAGTAGTCCTCGTCCTCCGGGCAGATGCTGGCGCTGATGCTGTCCACAAACGGCGCGAGCTCCGTGGCGCTCTCTGGGTCGTTGTTGTCCTCAAACTGGTCGTCGTGGCATGGTGGGCACTGCACTTCAATCAGCACCTGATATGGGGCCGAGGCGCCACCAACGCCGACGACGCGAAGATAGTACAGCCCGCCAACCCCGCCCGCGCTGTGGGCCAGCACCTCGTTGTCGGTCGTGGACACACCGCTGCTAACAAGGGAGCCGCTGGCATCGTACAGGTACGCGTCGAGGTTGCCTTCGTCGTTGCTGAAGAAGACAGACACGCTCACGTTGCCGTTGGCGCACACGGGGAACCGGTACACGTCCTCATCGTTGGGGCAGATGACTGCGGAGAACTGGGTCTGGCTCGCGGTCAGCACGGTTGCGCTGTCGCCGTTGTTGTTTGGCTCAAACTCGTCATTGTCGCACGCGTGGCACGTGACGTTGATGCTGATGTGGTAGCTGCCGGAATCGCCACTGTATCCACCCACATACAGGTAGTACAGGCCGTCCTGCGTGGCCGCGCTGGTGTGCACGAGAACCTCGTTGTCTGTGGTTGAGTTGCCCAGCGCCACAAGGTAGCCGTCAGCGTCAAAGAGGGACGCGTCAATGTCGCCGTTGTCGTGGTCAAACAGCACGCTGACCACCACGTGTCCTCCGGCGCACACGGGCACGCGGTACCAGTCCTCGTCCTGCGGGCAGGCGTATGCGTCAATCTCCGTGTCATCGACCGAGAGCACGGTGGCGGAGGTGTACGAGTCGTTGTCCTCATACTGGTCATCAGCACAGCCCTCGCAGTCCACGGCGACGTCCAAGTGGTAGGGCGCGCTGGCTCCGCTGTACCCATACACGTGGATGTAGAAGACGGCGGGGGTGGCGAGCGTGTTGGTGTGAGAGACAGCCTCGTTGTCGGACGTGGATGTGGAGGATGCAACCTCCGTCAGGTTTGCGTCATACAGCCGAAGGTCGACGTCGCCAACGGCGTGGGAGAAGAGCACGGTCACATCGAGCGTGCCACCGCTGCACACCTCCACAGCGAAGAAGTCCTCGTCCTGCGGACACGCGTGCGCGTCCAAGCTTGCAGGCAAGGTGGAGAGCGGCGTCGCTGTCTGGGGCGTGTCGTTGTCCTCAAACTGGTCGTCCTCGCACTCGGGGCAAGCCATGTCGATGGAAACACCGTAGGGCGTGCCCTGCGGGCTGTTGTTGTAGCCGTACACGTACAGGTAGTACAGCCCGCCGCCAGCGACGTCCGTGTACGAGATGAACTCGTTGTCTGTGGTGGAGTTGCCCTGGGCGACGTAGTACCCATCAGCGTCGTACAGGGCCACATCAATGTCTGCTGATTCGTGGTCGAAGGTGAGGGTGATGTCCAGGTCGCCATACGCGCACACGCGCACGCGGTACCAGTCCTCCTCATCCGAGCACAAGACGGCGTTGAAGTTGAACTCAGACGCGTCCAGCACGTACGCGTTGCTGTAGTCGTTGTTGGGCTCAAAGTTGTCGTTGGTGCACATGCTTGTTGTTGGCTCCTCCGTGGTGAAGCACTCTGCGTGGATGTCCACGTGGTACGGCGCACCGCCAGCGGCGACGGTGTATGGGTAAACGAGCAGCCAGCCCATGCCCGTGCTGTTGACATAAAAGCTGAACGTGTCGACGTTGCCACCCGAGTATGAGCCGCCAATGAGGTTGCCGGAAGTGTCGTAGACATCAAAGTCGAGGTCGCTTGCATCGTCGTCCGTGAGGGTGATGGTGGTGTTGCCAAAGCATGGGAAGGTGACGCGATACCAGTCTTCACCAAACGGATCCGTGTCGCACATGACGGCGTCAAAGTTGAACCCTGACGTGGCGCTAGGCAGCACATATGGGCTGTTGTCCTCCGTCTCATACTCGTCATCCTCACACTCCGAGCAGCCCTCCACTTGGATGTCCACGCTGTACGGCCCTGTGGACGTGACCCAGTAGCCCCAGATGTCCAGGTAGTAGTACCCTGGGTCTGTGACGTCCTCGTCCACCAGCACCTCGTTGTCTGTTGTGGAGTTGCTGAAGGCGACGCTGTTGCCAGCAGCGTTGTACATGCGGGCGGTGAGATCCACCACGTCCTGGTCGAAGGTGACGGTGGCGGTGACCTTCTCTGCGCCCTCGCACACGAAGAACCGGAACCAGTCAAAGTCCTCCGGACACGTGTAGGCATCAAAGTGCGTCACACCAGCAGAGAACCAGTACGCGTCTGTGTGTTTGGTGGGTTGGGAGGGGGAAGGAGGGGGAAGGAGGGGGAAGGAGGGAGAACGCGATGAGAGACGTGTGGAGACGTGAGGGATTGGGAGTTTGGGGTGGGAAAGAAGGGAGGGAAGGTGAGAAGAAACCAAGATGGGCGGTGATGGGCACACGTGATGTCCACAAGAAACAGGGGCTGAGGGAACACAAGTACGTGCGCTCGTGCGGAAAGTTACAAGTGCACACGCAATGCGCACATGCATGCACAGATGACGCACACATGCGTGCACAGATGACGCACACATGCGTGCACAGATGACGCACACATGCATACGTGCGTACGTCCATGCAAACACACACACACACACATACACATGCTCAACGCACAAAGCATAAGCGCGCACAAAGCAAATGCAGGCAACACATACACAGGACCCACCAACCTTCGTAAAAGTCGTTCTCCTCATACTGATCGTCTGGGCAACCGGAGCAGGTAACGGCAATGTCCACGTGGTATGGCGCTGTGGTGTCCGTGTAGTAGCCATACACCACGAGCCAGTACCAGCCACCGCCAACAGTGTCGGTGTGGGTGAGGTACTCGTTGTCTGTGGCGGACGTGGCTGCAACGACGTTGTTGCCCTCGCTGTCGTACAGGTACGCGTCCAGGTCACCCGTCTCGTGGTCAAACAGCACATCAATGGCCACTTGCCCGCCCGCGCACACGTACACGCGGTACCAGTCGAAGTCAGACTCGCACACGACGGCATCGAAGCTGGTCTGCTCTTCAGAGAGCACGTATGCGTTGTCAGACTCGTCGTTCTCCTCAAACTGATCGTCGCTGCACACGAGGGCGGTGTCGTAGCCGGATGGAGGCGCCTGGCTTGGGTATGACCCTTCCAGGGCATACCTGCCCAGGGTGGCGAACGCAGCGGGCAGGACCGGCAGCTCATCTGGGATGCTCACGCTGAGAAAGTATGTGCCTGGCTGGAGGTTTCTGCGCAGGAGCACCGCGGGGTCCTTGGAGAAGAGGTCGTTTGCTGCGGGCACAAGGCCACCATCGCTGTTGAAGAGATTGAGGTGGAACGTGGGCTGCACGCCGCTGGTGGTGTCCACCACCTTGCCATCGGCGTTCACAGGGGCACGCTTCACGCTGGCAGATATGGCGCCGTTGGTGTCGGTGACCTGCACGCGCCACCAGTCGACGTCCGTTGGCGATGAGATGACGCCCGTGGCGGCAAAGGCGTGGCTGTTCACCAAGTTGACGCTTGCGGCAGTGGCGGGCGTGGAACCGGCCTCATCCAGGGCCTTGCCCGTGTCAGAGGAAGCGCGTCGGCGACGCTGTGGCTTGTGCTGTGGCTCCTGCTGCTGCTGCTGCTGGTCTTGGTCGACCCCTGCTGCTTGGAGCTGCGTGGGGCCATCCCCGAGGTTCTCCAGCGTCTGCGGGGTCAGGCGTGGCGTCGGTGGCGACGGCAGGTTGACGAGGCGGGCCGGCGGTGCGGTGGTCTGCTTGCTTGGGTTTGGGCGAGGGGCGGCGAGAAGTGGGAGCGTGTTCACGAGAAGAACAGCCACCACCAGTGCCAGGGCAGCAGGGCCTGGACTGCTGCGGATCCAGTTTGAGGAATTGTGAGCCATTACCGCTTGTCAAGCGAAAGGTGGGCTGATACAGATGGATAGATGGATGAGTGAGGATGGGTGAGGATGAGGGTGGATGAGGGTGGATGAGGGTGAGTGAGGATGAGCGTGGAAGAGAGCACTGTAATGGAGGAAGAGGAGGGGAACAGAGCAGCAACAACGTCGTTGCGAGGACACAAGCTTGGCTTGGTGCTTCTGTGTGTGGTGGTGAAAATGATGATGGCTCTCACCTCGCTCACTTCAGGGAAGTCATTTCACGCGCTGAGCAGCAGTGCTCAGCGCAGAAGTAAGAGGCAGAACAGCAGAACGTGAACTTCACGTTCTGCGATTACTTCAGCATCATCACTGTCATCCGTGCCGTGCTCGAGAAGCCGAGTGCGTGCTCCAACCACTTCATTGCTTGATGTGCTTGATGTGGGCACGAGGAACACTGACACAAGAGACAAAGCGATCAAGCGAGTGCACAGTAAGTTTTGTGGGTGCTTGCATCTCCACGATGCAACTGTCGTCTGCCTCGCAGAAGCAACGTGGGTGTCCGTGTGTGTGTGCATGCCATCATTTTGTTGGTGCGATCGGGGGAGTGTGTGGTTGGTCGCTTGCATATCGTCAAGATCGTTGCGTGCGTGAGCAGCGTCGCGAACGGTGGCGTTTGCGCGCATTTCAAAAAAACGGTCTAAGACAGCATAAAATTCACAACACCACAACAAACAGGCTTTTGTGTGTCGTGTCGCACAAACGGAGTTTGTTTGACCCACGACGACCACCACCGCAACCATGGGAGACGTGTTTGTGGAGGCGGATGCTGCTGCGATGGCGGCCGGGAGCACGAATGGCCATGGGCACGCCCCGCAACACAGTGGCGGCGCAAACACCACCACGACGACCACGACGACCACGACGACCACGACGACCAGAAGCAGCAGCAACATCAACACGGACGCTGCTGGATCGACAGCGACGCGCAGCAACACCACCAACAATGGTGGCGTGAAGGTGATGCATGTCAGCAAGGCGGAGATGGACAAGGAGTGGCCCTTTGACGTCATCAAGAAGAACATCTACAAGTCGTCGTCGACATCCCGCTCTCGCAACCGCGAGAAGTTTGTTTGCGAGTGCAAGTACGACCCCAGTGACACCGACAGCGCCTGCGGCGAAGGCTGCCTCAACCGCATGCTCATGATCGAATGCGAGAAGAAAAGGTATGTGTTATGTGGTGTGTCGACGGGAGACAGGGAGTGCCCTTCTCTCCTGTACTTGCCATCGGTGTTGTTGAATGGGGAGACGGGGAGGGGGGGGTTTGGTCTTGGGGCTTCTCCTTGCCTGCCTGGTTTGGTTCGGTTTGGTTTGGTTCGGTTTGGTTTGGTTCGGTTTTGTTTGGTTTGGTTTGTGCGTGCATGAGGAGCACGCGGTCGACAAGTGCTGTCGACATGGTGGTGGGTGGGTGGGGATGATGATGCTTATGAACCATGGACGTGGCGTACTTCGTGTGCGTAATGGGGATTCCTTCCTTCCTTCCTTCCTTCCTTCCTTCCTGCTTTGCGCGCGCGCGTGTGTGTGCGGTCAACAGCTGTCCTTGTGGATCCAAGTGCCAGAACCAGCGCATGCAGCGGCAACAGTTTTCAAAGGTGGAGGTGTTTCAGACGGAGCGCAAAGGCAAAGGCCTGCGAGCCGTCGAAGACATCCACGCGTAAGAGAGAGAGAGTGTGTGTGTGGTTGTGTGCGTGTGGTTGTGTGCGTGTGGGTGTGTGTGTGCGTGGCTGTTTGTGTGTGTGGTTGTGTGTGCGTGGCTGTTTGTGTGTGTGTATTGTGTATGCTTGTGATTGTGCTTATGTGTGCGTGTGTGCGTGTGTACGACATGTGCATGTATCCGCTGTATGTGAGTGCAAAGAACCGCGCGCTCACGTGATGTCGCTGCAACACAGGGGCCAGCTTGTTTATGAATACTGTGGTGAAGTGTTGGACTTGCTTGAGTTTGAGCAACGCATGCGGGTGAGGCTGCTCATGTATGTATGTATATGTGTGCGGGAGTGTGCGGGAGTTTGTGTGTTGTACCTGTGCTTGTGAGCTTGTGTGGGTGTCTCGTTGTGGACCTGGTGCTGTATGCGGTCATCGTCGCTGTCTTACTGTCTCTGTCTGCCACACACACACACACACACACACACACACACACACACACACACACACACACACACACACACACACACACACACACACACACACACACACACACACACAAACCGTGCACGTGTGCAGTGGACGGTGAATGGGGACACGCGCATTGGATTCTTTGCCGTGCGCGACATTGCAGCCGGGGAGGAAATCACCTTTGACTACAAATACGAGCGCTTGGGGTGCGTTGGGGGGGGGTAGTGGAAGTGGTAGTGGGCTGTGCCTTGGGTGGTGGACTGGGCATCGAGCCACGCACACGCACGCCACGCTTTGTTGCTGCGTGCCCCCCCCCCGCCCTTACTCAACTCAACTCAACTCAACACCCTTCTGTTTAACCATCCGACCCTCCACTCAACATTACCACCAACCTCCATCCCACCACCAACCTCCATCCCAACACCACCACCAACACCACCACCATCCCCCGAGTGCAGGGAGACTGCGCAGCCGTGCTACTGCGGCGCGGCCAACTGCCGCGGGTTTCTTGGAGCGAAGCGTGAGGACAGCAGCAGCTCGCGCCGCGCGTCGTCGTCGTCGTCGGGGACGTTCCAGTCCCGCGCCCGCCGTATGGCCCGCCAGCGCGAACTCACAGAGGTGCTGGCACTGCTGGTGGCGACGACTTGGTACTGGGGGCAGTTTGTCGTGATGATGGTGGTGTCGGTGATGATGGTGGCGGTTGTGTGTTGTGTGGAGCGTCAACTCACGTTGCTTGTCCATACGCGCACCATTGCGGGTTCTTTTCGACAGCTGTCTGACAAGTTGTGGGAGATTTGCGGGAAGGAGGGCGTGCTGACGAACTATGCGACGGTGCAGTCGTTTATTGTGCTGCTCAAGGACACAACCAAGTGCCCAGAGTACTTCCAGCGCGTTCTCTCCGTCCTCCTCGTACGTACTGCCACGTGACGTGGTGTGGTGTGGTGTGATGTGACGTGACGTGGTGTGGTTTGGTGTGGTGCCATTGTGAAAGAGCACACACACACACATTTGACACGAACACACACACACACACACACACGCTCCCTCCCTTTCTCGTGCATGTGAGCAGGACACTGAGAACAAGACGTGCCTTGAAGGGTTTGTTGCAAAGCGCGGACTGACGTTTTTGAAGAACCTTCTTGAAACGGCCAACACAACTGAGGCTGTTGACGTTCTTGAACGGGTGTGGCGGTGATCGCTTGTGATGGCATCGATGGTGACTGTCAGGCACGCTTGCTTATATGGCATGTGCGTGCGAGTGTGCAAGTGCGTGCGAGTGTGCTTGAGCTGTTTACGTGTGCGGCGCACGGTACTGGCTCAATTGATCCAACTCTCCTCACCACCACCACGACAACGACGATGTCTGTTGCAGTGTCTGCTTGTGCTGGGGCGGCTGCCGGTGTACACGAAGAACGTCGTCGACAGCTGCGGCATCATGCCCGTCCTCGAAACCCTCAACACACACGACGTCTACGTGCGGCTGTGTGTGCGTGTGCGTGTGTTGTGTGTGTTTGTACTTGCGTTTGTGTGCGTTGTGTGCGTGTGTGTGCTTGTACTTGTGTTTGTAATTTTGTTTGTAATTGGGTGTGCGTGTGTGTGTGTGTGGAGTTGCCGAGGCGCGGTTTCTTCCTGCTCACCCCCGCCATGTGTGATTGCGTGCCTGTGGTGTTGCGTGTGTGTATCTCAGGATGTCCAAGTGCAGTCAAAGCAGCTCGCAGAGAAGTGGTCGCACTTGAAGGAGGTGAGCACTGGGCCAGCTTGTTCGCGTGCGTTTGTGCGCGCGTGTGTGTGCACGTACATGAACATGTGTATGTGCGTGTGCATGTGTGAATCTAGCGCGTACTTTGGTGACGTTTCACTGAACTGCCACTGAACTGCCACTGACCTGACCACCAACCATACCCATGTCCATCGTTCACCACGCGCCAATGACTGCGGCTGGGGCCGGGGCAGGTGTGGGTCATCTCGCGAGACACAGCGGCTGTGGATCACGATGCGCAGCGCATCCAGATTCCAGCGATAAGACGCAACGACTTCAGAAAGGTGCTCGCACGTGCAGCTGCCAGTGTGTGGTTGTGTGCGTCTATCTCTGTCTGTCTCTCCTCGTGTGGTTTACCGCTCTCACTGGATTACTCACCCCACTCCCCCCCCCCCACATACACACACGCACGCACGCACGCACGACGCACGCACGCACGCACCAGAGCAAGTTGCAGTCGCTTGAGGGAGAGCTGTCCGTGTCGCTCGACCTGCAACGCGGTGCACGTGGTGGCGATTTTGTCCTCGTCGTCGAAGGAAAACCGGACCGCGTGTCCGCAGCCATCCAGCACATCAACGCATACATGGACACTCTGAGTGCGTTGGAGGCAGTGGGTGGTGATGTTGCTTGCATGGAGGTGGATTGAGGGGTTTGGTGTTGCTGGACGTGCTTGTTGTTTGCATTTGGCCAACCCATTTGTTTGCTCGACCAATTCACCATGTGACGTGTGTGTGTGTGTGTGTGTGTGTGTGTGTGTGTGTGTGTGTGTGTGTGTGTGTGTGTGTGTGTGTGTGTGTGTCCCCGCGTACATATGTGTGTGTGCCTATGTGCCTGCGTGCGTCTGTGTGTGGTTGCTCCATTGGTGCACCAGAACTGAGGGATGAGCAGCGCCAGCAAGGTCCGCCCCCGTTGTTCGTGTAATCGCGTGCCCTTGCCTGTTCGTCTGTCTGTCTGTGTGGCTGTGTGTGTGTCTGTCTGTTCGTCTGTGTGTTTGTCTCTGTCCCTGCCTGCCTGCCTGCCTGTCTGTCTGTCTGTCTGTCTGTCTGTCTCTGTTTCTTTCTCACAACAAAGCCCACATGCGCACACAATCACACACACACACAATCACACACAACCGCACCCCATCTCTCTCTCTCTCTCTCTCTCTCTCTCTCTCTCTCTCTGTCCCTGCAGCGGAGGTGCTGTCGCGAACGTCGTCGACATCCGCAACGCCAGCGCCCCTCTCGGCCTCATCGTCAAGCACCGCCCTCAACACCTCAAACCCGCATATGTCCGCAACGCCGCAGCGCGCGTTCCACCCGAATCACCAGCAGCAGCAGCAACAGCAACAGCAGCCATTCTTCAGCCCGGCTGGCAGCGCACACGTCATGCACGCCGCTCCGGCAGGGTTTGCTGCAGGTATGGGACCAGCGCAACAACAACAGCAGCCCCTGCCGCTGTACGCTGGTGGTGGCGGCGGCGCACACATGCAACAGCCAATGCACCCCTCAATGCAACCACAACAGCAGCAGCAGCAGCAACCGTCACAGCCCCATCAGCCCGGGCTGCTTGGTGGAATGGGCCCACCGCTGCCTGGGGGTGCAATGCTGCAACAGCTGCAGCTGCACGCGCACGAGCCCAAGCCAGCCCCGTGCGGGCTGCCATGCCACATGATCCCGACAGACAAGATTGGTGCGAGCACAGGGCGAGGGGTGGGGTGAGGGGAAGGAGCGTACGAGCGGTGAAAGTGAATGGGAGTGGTGGGGGGGGAGGTTTGTGATGGCGCGTTGAATATGATCACTGCGTTGTCGTGTTTTCGTGTGTTTGTAAGTGTATTCGACGCTGCGACATATGCATGACCCACACACATGTGTTTGCCCTCGCACATGCACACACACACACACACACACACACACACACACACACACACGTTGCACACGCGACCTGCATGCATGTGCGCAGACGAGCGAGCGCTGCAGGAGCCTGTGCATCCTGATTGGGCGCAGGTGAAGGATGCGGGCTCGTCCAAGTTTTACTACTACAACCGCTTCACAAAGGAAACCACGTGGGACCGCCCAACCGTACAGGTGTGTGTGTGTGTGTGTGTGTGCGTGTGTTTGACAACTAGCATGCCATTCCAAATCTTCATTTACGTGCACACACATACACGCACGCACCAACTTGCTGGCACACACGCACCAACTTGCTGGCACACACACACACACACACACACACACACACACACACACACACACACACACACACGCGCGTACGTACGCGTGCGCACGCACGCACCAACTCACCCATTGTCTTACGTATGCACCCGTATGCACTGTGCTTGCTTCCTTGCGTGCGTTCCTCGTGTGCACAGCACGGCCCTGCTGGACGGGACGAGCCGACGGCGCTGGAGAAGGCGTTGGAAGAAATGCGGGAGCAGGAGCGGAGGAAGAAGGAAGAGGAGGAGGAAGAGGAGGAGAGACGGAAGAGGAAGAAGGAAGAGGAGAGGAGGAGGAAGGTAAACAAGGCAAACAAGGCGGCCCGCAACGCGAAGGCTGGCAGGGGAGAGGGGAGCTCGAGCAGCAAGCGTGCAAAGAGGAGCACGGATAAGCACAGGAGCAGCAGCAGCAGCAGCAGCAGTCGTCGTCGTCGCGATGACGATGATGACGATGGCGACATGAATGACGATCCAGCATCCGCCCGCGCAAAGTTCAAGAAGGACGTGAGTTGCTAGTGGTCGTAGTGGTGGTGATGGTGCTGCTGTCGTGTCTGCTGCTGCTGCTGGTGCTGCTGTTATTGCTGTTGCTGTTGCGTCCGCTGCTGTTGTGTTTGCTCTTCACAGTGCAATGGGGCCATGAACCATTGGCCACTCACCCCACTATTCACGTGCATTACACGTCCATCACATCCCACCATGCGCCGCCCGTGTGTGTGTGTGTGTGTGTGTGTGTGTGTGTGTGTGTGTGTGTGTGTGTGTGTGTGTGTGTGTGTGTGTGTGTGCGTGTGTGTGTGCGTGTGTGTGTGCGTGTGTGTGTGCGTATGCAGGTGAGCGCGACGGTGATCAAGTTTCTGAAGCGATTCCGGGACGAGAAGGTCAAGTTTGGGCGCATCACCAACAGCGATGACTTTAAACACCTCGCACGCAAGGTACGTGCGATGGCGGTTTGGTGGTTGCTGCTGTTGTTTGTTGTGTTAATTGTGACTGCTTGAGTTTCCTCGCTTTGCTTCGTGTGTCCTTTCACCGACCATAAGCATACATGTATACATGTTCAATCAAATTCATGTGACCTTTTCTTCGCGCTTCCCACACTTGTCTCGTGTGTGTGTGTGTGTGTTTGCATGAGCAGTTGACGCACACCATGGTGGAGAAGATTGCGCAGCGGCGCGGCGGCGAACTGGCCGGTGCTGTTGTCGATAAAGCCATGCGCACAAAGGTGATGACGACGATGATGGTGGTGGTGATGGTGGTGCCAGTATTCTGTTTGTTTCCGACGCTGTGCCGCTCGTCTCGTTTTCAACACACACACACACATGTGCCTCACTGCTCCCACGCCTTTGCGATGTTGATCAGATTTACGACTTTGTGAATGCGAGCATGAAGAAGTGCGGGCCGGAATACCAGCGCTCTGTCCTGCACTCCTCCGCCCTCACCTCAACATCGTGACTTTCTGATTGCTCGCTCGTGATGGCATCTCGCTTGCAGATGTCATGCCACAGTATCGTGCTGTGTGTCGTGTTGTGTCTTGTGTGTTTGTCTCTCTTCCTCTCCCTTTCTCTTAGACTTTGTCTTTGTCTCTTCCCTTGCTTGCTTGTTGATTTCGTTCGTACGCAGCTGCTTCCTCTCTCTATCTCTCTGTCTGTGTCTTTGGCTCTGTCTCTTTGTGTCCCTGATCACCATGTTCTGCTTTCAGTTGTTCTTCTTCGTGGTAGTCCCCATTCTTAGATTGTGCTGTCTCACACGCGTGCGATGGCGTTATTCGATCGCTCTCATATTCCCTTGCATGTGCCGTGCTGTGTTTGTTGGTGGTGGTGCTCGTGTTGTTTGTCTGTACGCACACGCACGCACGCACCAAAGACGACGTGTTTGTTGTCGAGGAAGTCACATTTTGTGCACGTGATGAAGAACTGGCAGCCGTTGGTGTTGGGCCCGCTGTTGGCCTGTGTTGTCGAAGCGCGGCAAGATGGATGCAAATCAGTTGAGGCGCCACAGAGCGCTTGAGGCGCCACAGAGCGCTCGCAGCACGATACACAAACACACACACACACACACAACACAATATAACACAACGCACGCACACACACACACACACACACACACGACAAAACAAAACAAATACACTACACAACACACACGCACACACCATTGAGAGGTCGCCGACATCTGTGTGCTTGTGGATGAAGTTCTCGTCAGCAAACTTGCCGCCATAGATGCTGGCAGTGCCCGTGCCATCCCCCTGATACAGCAGACACACGTGAGTCGGCGGGTGTCACGCACATACGGATGAATCGAATGAATAAACCTTGTTAAAGCTGAGGTGCATGAGTCGTTGTGGACATACACACACACACACACACTTGCACACAATCCCAGAAAATTTACACGCGGTGTCACACCTTCACGTAATCGCCGCCCTGGATCATAAAGTCCTTGATGACGCGATGAAACTTGCTGCCTTTGTAGCCCTGAGGGATGCCGTCTTTTCTGTGATGGCAACACGACACATAGTGTGTGCGTGTGTGTTTGCAGTGAACAAGACGGCTTCGTACCTGCAGACCGCAAGAAGCCTATCACTGGACAATCAAGCAATATCTCACACGCACACATGGCCAGACACAGCAAAGCAGCGCACCCGCACACACACACACACACGCACACACAGAGACACATGCACACATAGACGAACCTGTATTCACCAGTGCAGAGCTGGCGGAAGTTCTCTGCTGTCTTGGGGCAGGTGGAGCTGAAGAGTTCAAACTTCATGCGGCCAAGAGCATGGCCGCCAACCTCAATGTCCATAAACACGATCGGGTGCTCAGGCTTTGGTGCGTCCTCTGCTTGTGTGAGTGAGTGGGTGTGAGTGAGTGTGCGTGGTGAGTGAGACAGGGAGGTGTCAGTGTGCAAATGGATGCCAGTCGAAGTCAAGCGCCGCTCGTGCAGCGCAAACACACACATCAACACACACATCAACACACACACACACACACACACACACACACACACACACACACACACACACACACACACACACACACACACACACACACACACAGCATACGCACCGGGTGCCTCCTTCCCATCAGTCTTCTTCTCCTCCTTGGCCCGCTTGGCCTCCGGCTCAGACATCTTCGTTTGAGTGCCTCTTGTTTGTCGCACGACGTTCGCTCGCGCTGATATCGGGGTGTTGCGGCACGACAGCAAAAAATGCATATTCTGACAGTTTCATCTTCGCTGGCTGGCAACGACAAACTCCACCACTGCCCACCACCACACACGAACAAGCACACACGCACGCTCACATCAACGCCAACACCCTCCCCCCTCCTCTCGCGCGATCATGGAAGAGTTGAAGAACCTGCTGCAGGAAGGCGGTGATGACGATGATGAAACCACGCAGCAGCAGCAGCAGACGCCTGGCGTCAGTGTGCCTGCTGACGGGGAAGTGAAGGTTGAGCACATGGATTATGATTACGTGGGCAAGTGCACTGACGTCAAGCACCTCGTGCGCATCTTGAAGGCCCTGCGGTCTGGCAAGGAGGGCGTGTACCCGCACCTGGAGCAGTTCACGGAAGACCGCATTCGCAAGCTGGACCCCGCAAACAAGGTCCTGCTCAAGGAAGAAAAGGTGACCTCCACCAAGCGCCTTGCCGCGAAGCAGCGCGAGGACATAGCCAAGCAGTTTGAGGCCTTTGAGGCACAGGCCAACGCCATGGAGGAGGCCCTCAAGTCGCCTGCCGCGCGCCCGCAACGCTCCTTTGCCTCCATGCCACCCATCCGCAACCAGGCACAGGCGCGCGTGAGCTTCAACGAGGCCGACGCTGCCTCACAACAGCAGCAGCAGCAAGCTGCAGGCTCCAGCAATCCTTCCAAGAACAAGAAAAGCAAGAAAGCACAGCGCGCCAAGCGAATTCCAGGGTGAGCACGTGTGCATATGTTTGTGTGTGTGTGTATGTACGTTTGTGTAGAGTGTGTTTGTTGGGTTTGACGCCACCAATCTCCCCTTGTCACTCACGCCAGCGTCCTGGCTTTTTCATCCCACGTCACACCCACAGCCACGATTTTCGCGCATGGGATAAGTTTGATGTGGACAAGGCCCTTGACGAGATTGATGCCGAAGACGCAGAAGAGCAGCAGCAGGAGTTTCAGCGCCTTGCACAACAAGGTGTACAAGTGTGTGTGTGTGTGTGTGTGTGTGCCTGCGTGAGGGTGATTCGTTGTGTGTGTTCATGGCTGCACAACAAACACTGTCAGCATCGTGTCAATGTTCGCCCCCCCCCCTCCCCGCCAACTCCACACGTCAGCTCCACACCCCACACGTCAGCTCACATTCTCTCACGCCGTCTACGACCACGACCACGAACACCATGATCATCACCATGAGCAGCGCGGCCCGGTGCGCGTGTGCGCGGAACTGACATGGGCGTGACGCTGCCATCCTCGCACGTGGAGGGGCTGCCCGAGAGCAAGCAGCTGCGGGAAAAAATGGCAGAGGAGGAGAAGATCAAAGGCAACGAGGCACTGCGCAGCGGTGATATCCAGGTGTGTAGGGAACGGTCGGGGTGAGGCTGAGTATGGCGCTGCCCACACACCTTCCCATGCATTTGCTCACAAACAATGCTTGTTTCAATCGTGCGCGCGCACACACGCACACACACACACACACACGCACACACACACACACACACACACACACACACACACACACACACACACACACACCGTCACCGCCGTTGCGACCTTCAGGAGGCGCTGGTGTACTACACGCGGAGTCTGTCCATCCAACCCACGGTTGCCTGTCGCAACAACCGCGCCCTGGCGCACATCAAGGCCGCAAACTATGCCGATGCCGTGCATGATGCAACCACTGTCATCACAGCTGACCCAGACAACATCAAGGTCCGTTGATGCGCGCGCGCACACGATGTGTGTGTGTGTGTGTGTCCTCTGCGGTAAAGCAAGCTTCACTGCTTGTTCACACCCACCCCCCGGTATTTACACACGCCCATTCACCTTAACCCATATCTTCATCGTCGTCACCACTACCGCAGGCTTACATCCGTCGCGGGTGGGCGCAGCTCGAGCTCAAGTCTTTTGACGACGCCAGAGCCGACCTGAACATCGTCCTCCAAGCCCAGGTGAGCAAGCATGTATTGCGCACATTTACGTGCTGTTGTTCTAAATGCTGGTTGTAGCACCGACACTCACATGTACAGAAACACACACACACACACAAACACAACACACAAACACACACACACACACACACACAACTGCTGCCACAGCCCGGGAACAAGGACGCGCGCCGACTGCTTGATCGCGTGGCCGCGGCGGAGGCGAAGGAGGAGGAGGACAGGAAGGCTGCACAGGCAGCAGCAGTGGCCGGCACGCAGGAGGCGCAGCACGCATCCCGCGTATTTGGTGATGGTGATCAGGGAAGAGGACAGGAGTTGGAGGGCGCAAGCAAGGAGCAGAACACGAAGGCAACAGAGAAGGCACAAAAGAAGAGCAAGAAGAAAAAGAAGCGCATGGTGATTGAGGAAGTGGATGAAGACGAACGCACACCACAACCAAAACCACAGCAACAGCCACAGCAGCAGCCACAGCAGCCACAGCAGCCACAGCAGCAGCAAGAGAAGGACAAGGGGGAAGGCGCAGCCTCAGCCAGCGACACAACAGCAGCCACCAGCGTCAGTCCTCCACCAACAACCAACACCGCCCCACCACCACCAGCACAAACAGCTACAACCAGCACCACAGGGCCAAGCGATGCTGTGCAGCCGTCAGCGCGCGTGTTGGAGCTGAAGGACAAGGCAAAGGCGGCATTTTCCACCGGACAATATGCAGACGCAATGCATCTGTACACATCCGCGCTGGAGGAGGTGGACGCGGTGTCCTGTGCGCTCACACGCGTGCAGTTGCTCAACAACCGCGCCGCGTGTCTGCTCAAGCTGGGCGACGATTCAAAATGCATCCAGGACTGCACGGCCGTGCTTGACGTGCATGCAGGCAACGCGAAAGCGCTCCTTCGACGCGCGCTTGCGTACGAGCACAAGGAGAAACTCCATGAAGCACTGGCGGACTTCCGATCCGTACAGCGGCAGCACCCGGGCAACACGCAGGCTGTGCAGGGCGCAAACCGCGTGGGGAGCATGATGCGCAGCATGGCAGGGCACAGCATCGTTCGTGGACGCAGCAGCGCCAAGGAGCAGGCGAACAAGGCGGAGGCCACGTCCAAGGGGAAGGTGGTGGCGGGGAGCAAGAAGCCAAAGGCAGCCACCCACGAGCAGCAGCAGCAACAGCAACGACAACAACAACAACAACAACAACAACAACAACAACAACAACAACAACAACAACAACAACAACAACAGCAACAACAACAACAACAACAACAACAGCAGCAGCAGCAGCAGCAGCAGCAGCAGCAGCAGCAGCAGCAGCAGCAAGAGGAGCAGAGCAAGGCGAAACGCACCGCCAAAGAGGCGCCAACTGCGCCGGAATCGGCGGTGCCTGCAAGCACGCGCCAGCACGCCGCAAAGTACGAAGCGCTGAAGAACAAGGGCAACGGCTTTGTCAAGGCAAAGAAGTTTAGGGAGGCGATTGCAGCCTACAACGAGTGCATCGGTGTGGACCCGGAAAACGTGGCGGCCTTCAACAACCGCGCGCTGTGCTGGCTGAAGCTCGGCGAGAACGAGCGAGCAAAGGCAGATGCCCTGGTTGTGCTGCACCGTGACCCCACGAACGTGAAGGCGTGGTACCGGCGTGGGCTGGCCCATGCTGCGCTTGGCGAGAAGACGGACGCCCTTGCGTCGTTCACGCGCGCAGTTGAGATAGAGCCAGGCAACGCCGCAGCAGCCAAGGAGAAGCGCGCGCTGGAACAGGAGATGGGGACACATGCGAAGACACAGACAGCAACAGAGGGGCGCAGTGCACAGCCGGGTAGTGGTGACAGCAGTCGTCGTGGTGAGGTGAAGAAGGACAAGGTGAAGAAGAAGAAGAAGAAGCTGGTGATTGAAGAAGTGGACGAGGAAGAGGAGGAGATGGATAAGGGGAAAGATAAGGATAAGGGGAAGGGCGTGGATCATGGCACGGCGCAAGAAGGTGCAGGGAAGGGTACAAAGGCGGGTGCACGCAAGAGCAAGAAGGGCGGTGGCGAGAAGGCGACACCACGCCCGCTGGTGGAAGAGTTTGAACTACCGCCAGCGCCAAAGGCTGCGAAGAAGCAAGAGGCGAAGGCCAAGCAGCAGCAACAACAACAGCAGCAGTGGGGTGACGGTGGTGATGAGGAGGCGGCTGCAGTGAGGGCGAAGCTTCAGGCCATGACAGCAGAGCGCAACAAGCTGGCAGCAGAGGTGGCCGAGGCACAGCGGCGGGTCGAGACGGGGCAGGCGAGCGTGGCGGACACAACACAGCAAGTGGCGCAGATGGAAGAGCGATTGGCCAAGACATCACAGCGACTGCAGGATGTGACGCAAGAGGTGCGCGCATCGCTTGCCGCGGAAATGGAGGGAGACGCGAAGAGCACAGGCGAGGACGAGGCGGCGAGGCAGAAGCAGGTGGCGGGGAGGGAAGAAGGTGCGAACGTTGAGGAGGGCACAACCACAGCGAAGGTGCAGACGAAGACGAAGACAAAGACAGAGGCGTGGGGTGAAGAGAGCCAGGCGTCAGCCGAGGATGAAGTGGCGTCCATCATGAAGGAAGCCATCGCCAGCCAACAGCAGCAGCGGCAGCAACAACAGGGCGGTCGCGGTGGCAGCAGCAGTGGGCCTGCATCGAGTGCAGACTTCATGCGACGGTGCAGCGAGGCAGTGCGGCGGGACAATGCGCAAGCCATGTGCGAGCTGCTGACCTCTGTCAAGCCATCACAGCTACCCGTGCTCTTCTCGAACCAGCTGGAGGCGGAGGAATTGGTGCTTGCTGTGCGTGGGCTGTGCCTGTCGCCCAAGCCCGTGGGCGCATTCAAGCGGCTGCGCACGCTCACGCGGTGTGCGCGGTTTGACATTACGGTGCAGTTCCTGGAGGAGGAGGATCAGGAGGTGCTGCGCGTGTGTGTTGGGGACGTGTGCCGGCGTGCGTTGGAGGTGGCTGGCACCACCATCACCACGGAAAACATCGCTGCCTTGCACGCCGTCTACGGCCTCCCACCACCCTCCTCCTCCTCCTCCTCGTCGTCGTAGATGCGTGCTCTTGTGTGTGTGTGTGTGTGTGTGTGTGTGCATGTGTGTGTGCATGTGTGTGCATGTGTGCGTGTCAGAGTGGAGTGAGACATGAAGCAACAAGCAAACCATTTCAGCGGTCATCAGTCACAATCATCATCCACACAAAACAACGCAACGACGATGACGATGGTGCTGCGACCACGTGTGCTGCACGTGTGCAGGAGAGGGGCGGCGATTGCGGCGAGGGCGCGTGGAGGTGCAAGAAGCATTGGAGGGAACCAAGGCAGAGGTAAAAGACAGCAGCGTGGTGGCCGAGTATCGGCGGGTGCTTCTCCTGTTGCTGCACGGGAAGGGGCGGTGAAGAAGGAAAGGCCACGCACGGTTGTGTTTGGTGGCAGCATCCCGTTCTCTGCGCTGCCATTGCCGGCGCCACTGCAGGCGTCACTCGGCAGGAACCGGTTCGCCCAGAGCACGGTGATCCAGCGCGAGGCTTACAAGCCCATCTCCAAAGGCAGGGATGTCGTCATCGCAGCAGAGACAGGCACAGGCAAGACGCTTGCATACCTGCTGCCCACGATGGCCCGCCTCTTGGAAGCACGCCAACACAAACAGCAGCAACAACAGGAACAACAGCAGCAGCAACAGCAACAGCAAGCCAAGGTGGAAGTGGTAGCAGCAGAGACGGTGGTGGTCGATCACGGTAGACCACGTCCACACTTCCCTCGCGCGCTCATCATCGCACCGACGCGCGACCTCGCCCGGCAGACCTACCGCGTTGCCCGCTCACTGGCGCAGGGCACCGGCTTGCGCGTGGTTGGCATCGTCGGCGATGCAGACAGCGACACGCAGAAGGCGCTGGACCGCCCCGCAGACGCCCTCATCACCGTGCCTGGCCGCCTGCACACCCTCACCAGCAGCGGCGTGCTGCAGCTGGCCGATGTGCAGACAGTCGTGCTGGACGAAGCCGACGTCATGCTCGAGGACTTTCGGCTGGAGGTGATCCCGACCGTATCCGCGCTTCGGCCAGACATCCCGATTCCAGAGGCGGAGCTCATCCCGGCCGCTGCGCGCGAACACACGCCGACAGCAGCGGACACGGCGAAGGATGGTGCCACTGGCACGCTGGACGGTGTTGCCAGTGATCGGATTGACCCAAGTGCAATGGAGGCGAGCAGTGGCGGTAATGGTGATGCAGCCAACATCACTGACTCAACACTGCAAGCCACGTCAGCTGCTGATGTCGATGAGGACACAAACATGGATGATGAGCCCGAAGTAGTGCTGGCGCGAAGGATTGCCAAGTTGCGACGCCGAACACCAGCAACACAAACAACAACAGCAGCAGCAACGGCAGCGACAGCACATGAGCATGACAACAAGCAGGCAGCGCAAGTGGTGATGGTGGGCGCATCCATAGCGTCACCAGCCATGAAGCAACTTGGTGTTGGCATTCCACGACTGCTCGTCGTTGCATCACAGACACTGCACCGTGTCCCATCCAAGCTCAAGCACGACTTTGTCAACCTGAAAGGCCCCAACAGAAAGCCCGACAAGCTTCTGTTCCTCTGCCGCCAGCTGCGACAGGAGGGGAAGCGTGCCATCATCTTCTGTAACACTGCCGACACCGTTGCGTGGGGCAGCCGCTTCCTTGAAGAGAACGGGCTTGCCACTGCTGCGCTTACAGGCACCATGTCCAAGCAGACGAAGCGCGAGAACGTGCACCGCTTTGTGGACACGAAAGACGTGCATCTCCTCATCTGTACCGACATGGTCGCACGCGGCATGAACTTTGACGTGAGCCTCTGCCTATGTGTATGTGCGTGGTGGGGGAAATGTTGTGCTCTCTTTGTGTGTGTGTGTGTGTGTGTGTGTGTGTGTGTGTGCGTGTGTGTGTGTGTGTGTGTGTGTGTGTGTGCGTGTGTGTGTGTGTGTGTGTGTGTGTGTGTGTGTGTGCGTGCGTGTGTGTGTGTGTGTGTGTGTGCGTGTGTGTGTGTTGGCCGTGGGAGCTCACAGTGTCACACCCATGCATGTGTTTGCGTGTGCATGTGTGCTTGCACAACGTCAACAGGTTGATGTGGTGGTGAACTTTGATCTTCCATTGACCTCCGTCGACTATCTCCATCGCTGCGGCCGCACAGCTCGCATCGGCAAGAGGTGAAGCATTTGTGTGTATGTATGTGTGTGTGTGTGTGTGTGTGATTTCGTCTGTGCGAATGTACCTTGTGTGTGTGTGTGTGTGTGTGTGTATGCACTCGCTCACACGTTCTGCGTCGTCCTGACATGCGTACAGTGGACATGTGATCAACCTTGTTTCTCGACCGGACCGACACAGCGCTCACCTCCTCAAGGTACACGTGGCGTTGTTGTTTGCAGCTGCTGTTGGTGTATCATTACATGCCATGCGGCTCCTTGTTGCGTACTTGATGCTGAAGGGTGATGCAGCTTCCACACACACACACACACACACACACACACACACACACACACACACACACACACACACACACACACACACACACACACACACACACACACACACACACACACACACACACACACACACACACACACACACACACACAGATGGCCATCAAGGCGCAGCAGCCGCTGGACGGCGTGTATTCCGCAGATGACACAGACGCGGGGACGAGGAGGAGAAGTGGCCACGGTGGCGGGAAGCGAGCATGGTACACGGCCAAGATTGTTGGGCAACGCAGGAGGGGCAAGCAAGCAAGATGATGTGGCAAGGATGCCCGTTTGCACACGTGCGTGTGTGTTTGTAGATGGATGAATGGACGCTCTTTGTTGCGTATTTGTGCGTGTGTATGCGTGTGTGTGTGTGTGTACTTCGTGTGTGTCATGAGTAAAGGAATCACTTGGCGAAGGAACAAGCAGACTGGCACTTTCTACTTGTTGTCAGCGTGTCATCCCCCTCCATTCTACACGTTCACGATCAGCGATCACACACACGTGCACGCATCACAACAAAACCACGAAAACCGCAAGCGAGCAGCAACGCCACAGACTTGAGTGCACGTACTAACAGTCATGTCAGTCAACAATCTCAATACACATTGGGTGTGCACGTGTGTGGGCACGGCGACAAAATAGACACAAAAGGAGGAACAGGAACAAAGGTCCCGAGGAGCAACAGGGAGACATGGGGTGCATACAATACATGGAACGGTCGGAAGAAGTTGTGATGAAACCGGGGATACACGGCGAAGCGACAATTTGAGCCGCAGCAAGCGGTCGACATAAAGCAGCGCCGCGCATAGCTGAAACAGAACAAACACGGAACTGCGTGTAGACACAAAACAACCACAACCACACGTGCAACAAGCACGACACTACCAAACAAACACACACACGCACACACACAAAAACAAACAACCAAACACACAAGCAAGCAAACACACACACACACACACACACAAATACAGCATCAACAGCAGCATGGCATTACGACTGCTGTCCGCGCCACGCGGACGGGCGGTCCTCGTCGTCGGCGTTGTCGTCGAGGGTGATGGACCATCTGTGTAGAAAAGAGTTGGGGTGGTGGTGAGTGAGTGAGTGAGTGAGTGGGTTGGGTTGTGAGGCTCGTGCAGGCACAGTGTGAGGGACTGTGTGCATGCGTGTGTGCATGTGTGTGGTTGTGAACTTTGCGTCATTGCAAACACTGACTTGTTGAGGATCCAGATCTTGTCCATGCGCTCCTGTCACCGCAAGACGATGAAATGTGGAACGGGAAGCAGCGGGCATGAGTGGTGAGTTGACAGGGTAGGTGAGGAAGTGCTTGCTATCGCATGCAAAATGAGACGACCAACAGCAAGGCTACAGCAACACTGCCATCTTGACTGTCATCCAACAACCAGCGCGCAACAGTGTACAAACGTGCGTGTGCATGTTTATGCAGAGGTGCACGTGTATGTATGTATGTATGTATGTATGTATGTATGTATGTATGTATGTATGTATGTATGTGTTTACGTACGAGATCACGCTCGACTTGGAGTTTGTTGATGAGTTTCTTCTGTGCGCGAATGACGGCGCGGTTGATCAGAATCCACGTGCTGTGCGTGTGCGTGTGTGCATGTGTGAGCCATGTTGTAAAGTGGTGTTGGAAGAGGCGTGTGGGGATGGACGTGGAGTGGTGTGAACAAAGACAGCACATGCGAGTGAGTGGAAACGTGACGAAGCAATGACGTTGTGGTCGTGTGCATACCCTCAACCCCACATCTTACTGACTCAGAA